CAGGGACACATTACGTGACTATCTGAACTTCAGTTTCCTTACTTTAACATCAGGATAACTGTATTAGCTATTTGTGAGTTTGAAATGAGATAATGCATGCAAAGAGCCTGGTACATAATCAATGACTTCAATAACAATAATAGTAATACACTTTGAATAATGGATGATTATTGGTAATACTTAAATGTGCCTATAATTTGTTAGTAAAAAATTAAGCACGTTTTTGAAAATAGACAAAAAATATGGTTAGTCAATTTCCAAGATGAAATATAATAACTGATAAATGTATAAAAATTAGCTGACTAAAGAGTAGTACAGATTAAGTAATTCAGTATCATCTTTGCCAACCATGTTGGCAAATACTAAAAATTTGTATAATAATCTATAGTGCTAGGAGTGGAGGGGATATTCTTACATGCCACTAATAAAAGTGGGAACTGGCATGAGTATAACTGGAGTGATTGATAGTATGTATCGAGAAGTTAAATGCGGAGCCTTCTGGGAAGGTGGCGACTGAGTAACACATACCAGAGGGACTCCACATAAATCAGTGCAGTAGAGTCACAAAGAGGGAAATTCCACACTGCTGGGTCACAGGAGGGGCATCATAAAGATAAGTTGGCATAGATCCACTAGGTTTTGAGGAACTAGGGGCTTTTGGCTTACCACAGTGGAAGCTGGCTAGGGTTTGACCTTAGCCCCGCCACTGTCTCGGCTGGAGCTGGGATCATTTGGAGTCAGCGCAGGGGCTTTATCTCAACATAGTCACAGCTTGTGAATGCCTCAGGGTTAGGGATTAAACCCCTCGAGCCCCACAGTCAGGGATCAGGGCTCAGATATATTGTTACTTTTGTTTCCCTCTTCTCTCTATCCCCCCACAGTCTCAGTGGGCTTAGTCTTTTGTTTTTCTTTTTCTCTTCTCTTTTCTCTCACCCACCACTGCCAACCTCCAAGACCACTCCCCATACGCCTGCCCTCCACCCAGCTGGGAGCGCTCCACCCTCTGCAGCATAACCCAAGGCTTGGGAAAGCCCGCCCACCCTCCACCAGGGATATGCCACCCAACTTCTTCCCAGGGAAATTCTGCTTGCCCTCTACAGTGCTTAGCACATGGCTGGGGAAATCCCACCCACCTTCTTCAGAGAAATCCTGCCTGAAAACAAAGGATTGATGGTTGGGAGTGGTGGGGTGGACAGGGGAGAGGGGGAGGTGGGGGAAAGGAAGTGATGTTAACAAGCCCAGGGACAAGGGAACAATAAGTGATCCAAAATCAGTGGCGAGGAGGGTGTAAGAGGCCTGGTAGGGATTGATCAAGGGCAATGTAACCGGGAGGAATTACTGAAACCCAAATGAAGGCTGAGCATGATAGTGAGACAAGAGGAAAGTCAAAGGAAATAGA